GGTCCCCTGCATCTAGCGGGCAGCGGGGACTCAGTCTATTTAGATTGCAGGTTACCGATAGGGAACCAAGACTTTTCCTGCTAAAGGTTCCCTGTACAAGTTTTTGTTTTGCATCACGCACCAAAAAAGTAGAAGCATGATTCGCTAAGGGGTGTAGAATTAACACTTTCTGCAGTAGGACTATCGCACACCACAATGTATTCTCTGAACCAATATATCCTGAAGGCTTTCTGCAGGTACAGAATGATACTGGGAAATGTCTTATATCATACCTCCTTTCAGCAATCAATGCTATAAATAAATGTTTTTTTAAACCCTGTAAAAAGTACTTTTGTTCAGTACAATCACTGAATGTTTCTCATTTAAAAGTTTGTTTTAGCCTAGGAGAATTCTGGGAGCAAAATTATTTCCAGTACATTTACATTTCTTGATAAAAAACCTTTTTCCAGAGCAACACCAAAGGACGGCCAAGCAATAGCAGGCAAGTTAAGCATGATGCCAAGCTACGGTAGTTACCAACTAATGAAGAGTAAAACAAGGGAGCATTGGGACTAAACTCCTATCCAGTGGGTTCAGTTCTACCAACATTCAGTTATAAAAAAAGTGTTTGATTCTCACCCAAACTGTCTAGAGGGCAGCAGGTTGTTCTGCCACTTCTCCAGGTCCTTGAGCTGGAGATCAAAACGAGGACTGATCACTCCACACTGAAAAGATAAGAAACTTCACTTAGTACTCATACAGATTAAATACTTTAGATGCACCATCTGTGAAAACTTGAGAATTCTCTTGGATGTTGCATTTACCACTTTCCAACCATAAAAAGCATCAACTTCACACACTAAAGTAATGAGATTTATAAAAGTAGATGCTTGAAAAAACTATGTCTGGAGGATAGTTACTAGAGATGTTATTTGGAGGATGCTTGAAAAACTGCCACAGCGCAAAAAAAAAACACCTAAGTTTGGTGTTTCTTTCATGTTAACGCGCGTGCAAGAATAGCCAATTCAAACAGTTAGCATTTACCCTATAGTGTCTCAAAAGGAGAAGTATATTGATACTTCAGAGCTGGGTCTAAATTACTTTACCTTGTTCAGCCTGCCTGTGAGATTCACGACGATTTTCCCGGCTCTGTGGTCGTCAATGATCTCAAACTCGCCAATGTAACCTGGAGGCACAAATGACAAACAACAACAATAAGCAGAAGACTCGCGGAAGAGTTATCTTTTCGCCCCGATGAGTTTAATATTCTAAACTGATTGAAATATCAAGTTCAGCAGCAATTAATCTAGACAGACACTTTTAACAATCATATAAGCTTTTGTAATGTGCAACTCTCCAGCTTAACAACAGTTCAGTTATAGACCAGAGCAACAAGCTGCCACATGGCCAAATTATTAAGTCAGCATTTCATGACACAAACACTATTCATTCATAGCAGAGAACTTAACAGCCACTCACCGTGCTTCATCATGACGGTTAGGAAGCGCACAATAACCTTGGAGCAAGGCCTGAGGAGGACCTGGCGTTTCCCACGTTTCTCAGCATTGTTGATGCATTTCAGAGCATCTGCGAGTACGTTCATGCGCACCATGATGCCTGTGGACGGACACAAAGACCACAGTTGAATGTTAAAGAGTGACACAGATGATCTTCAACCAACAGAAATGAGCTGTGCTTATTTCCCCATTATCCTGTGGGGCTGTTTTCCCCATAGCCGTCATTCTCTCATACTTTGACTGATATACAAGTTTGGGCATAAACCCTCTTTCCTACAATTTAGAAATGATGGCACATGAGGTGGAGCACCAAACGTTATGTCGAGTTAGCTACACCTTGCTAGCACCACTAATTTAACGACGCGTAGTTGTAGCACCAACAAGTAATAGCAACATGGCTAACCATAGCAACTTACGTTACGAAAAAAATGATACGAACATGTTTTACTCGCATTAAGTTAAACGACACTTGAATAGTAAAACGCAGAATCCCAACACAGCATGGTCCTTCATGAGCACACGGAATGGCTACTTAGCCTAGCCGAATACATTTCAAATAGACAAGCAGAGCATCTCCCAACACTAGCACACACAATGGTCAACGCGATGTCAACCATGTACGGAATATTTTACACACGAATATGTTTGTAAAGCTTACAGGTTTTGTGTTTTAAATTAAATAGACACGTATTTGGTCACAAAGCTAATAGTTATAAAGGCGCCTTGAACGCACCGATTTCCAGGCCGAGCAGAGGGGCTTGCTCGATGAAATGTATAGTCCAGATGTGTTTAACCTGTTCCACTAAACGAGGCGATAATCACCTCAAATCATTAATGTGAGCTTTGGCTTCAAGATGATCGTATAAATGCAACATTTAACATTCTGATGCTTTAGATACTTAAAGGATTGGAGGTGACAGTGTAATAAGCATCTTACCGGTTCTGCAATATGGCGGAAAGAGGAAGTCGGAAAAAACCGCAAGGCATTATGGGAGAAAATCCAAGACCTTTTAAATCGAGATGATACACACCAGTCCAGCACCAAATGATATTTAAGTCTTTGATAAGTAACGTGTTATACCTCCACTGTTCCACTTTAAAATGACACTAAAAGTATTTTCACATTTACTTATTTGTTCCGTAAAGTGGCTTGAATTTGTGTTTATATGACGTGATTACTTTTATTTAATAATTGTGTTTTTATTGCGTATAATTAAATAAATATAAATCTAGAACCATTCATTGTGTCACTATTAAATACGGGCAGGATCTTTAGTAAATATGTGCGAACACGAACTGGTCTTTCTGTGATAACCATTGATAAAGAGTTAACACCTATTTGAGCATTGTTCCAACACCAAGAACGAACATCCAGCAAGACCTTTGTAGATTTGTAATTGATATTTAAATATGGAATCAGATGTAAATAGCCTACTTTACATACTTATAGCTAAAAATGTGGTGTCTGGTTTCTTTTTCTTTTCCCAAGAAAATAATGTTGTATGTGAAATAATATGTTAAACTATTTTATAAAAGGATATTAAGAAACGTAATAATTGCATGCTTTATTTTATTTTGTACTGTGATATAGCTGTGCTTTTGTTTAAAGAAAAACAAAAAAATAGTTAATTAATTTAAATACAATTTACATTTAAAGCAGTGCCACCTAGTGAGTAGGAAGAATTATTGCATGCGTGCATATCTATCCATTTTAATGGATTTCGCTTGGGCAAAACTGATTTGATAGAAAACGAAAGTAAAACATATAGCAGCAACTTTGTGCATACATAGTATTTTACAATTATACTCCAGTTGTATATAGAGCCTATGAAGTTTAATGAAAGACGTGTTAATTCCCCACATTACATGCAATATAGTTTTAATCATGATAAACGACAAAGCCTTTATCAAATTATTTATGCACACCCAATTTTGGGTGAAAATAGAGAATACATTAACATGAGATTTGGCAGCAATTAAAAGTGGACACATTGTTTTACAAAAGATGATTTATTTGGATATGATCATTTTCTAAAAGCTTTGAAGATACTTTGCATATCTCATGGCACACTTAGAATAATTGAATCAAAGAATTCAAGGTAAAAAATAAAATGCCAAGATGAAGAAGGAATCATGTTCGTTTATTTGATAAGGACCACTGACAACAACACAAGCTATGAAAAAACAGGTATTTTGCATCTTCTCATTGCACCTTTACACATATCTTATGAATGCATTACATTAAATGTAAGAGAATACACAAACAGAATTGGATAACCCCACGAGAGTGTTTTCCATGACCTAAGAGACAATTAATTATCTTTATTCCCTGTTTTAACATAAACAACATGGCAATATTTGTTACCAGTGGGTACAATTCTTGTCAAATCCAAGTGATTACCAAAAAGTTATTACAGGTCCTAGATAAAAGTTAAAAATACAGTTACATTTACTTCTATAAATTTCTTGCAACACATGCATGATATTGTAAAAGAAGTATGAGTTTAAATGTTAACAACAATAAATGTTTTGCAATACAGAGTCTGTATTATGTCGATGTTATAGATTTTCCTGACCACTGAGTGGTGAATAACCACAGCGTTGACGTTGTTTTTTAGAGAGTTCTTCTCTAGTGGTAGGCAGTTTAATGCCGTTTTCAATTAATTGGCCTGCTCTCTAAATATTTTCATCAGCATCGGCCAATGAAAAACCCCTATTGGTCAACCAGTAGCAGACTTCCCATGTCAAATAGGTACATTTCTGCTGGCCAACTTAGAACAATATCACACTTTAGTCTTACATGCACATAAAATGTGGATATATATATTTAGCATAGTTAGCATAGCATCGAGAGCTAGAGACTAAAGCTAAGTCACAAAAATCTGAATGAGTTTCTTTGGAACTGGGTTTGCAAAAAATTATGTGTGAGTACAGTTTTTTTGTGATTCTGAATTGTATAATATTTTCTATTTTCGTATTATATTTTAACAATCCGAAAATCAAAGTGTGAATAATTGCTATCGCATTGAAAGCAAGACTGAAAGAGAATAAATACATATTTCTTTCAAGCTGATCCTGACTATAGTTTATGGTATGCAAATGTTTTTAATGAGTCCTGTCAAAGCAACACGTTTGTGTCTCTGACACTGTGTGAAAGCATTTATTCGATTAAAAAGTATTCAACTCTACTGCTGTGCTCTGAAGTTAGATTTTCATGTAGAGTGATGCAGTACGTCCAACCGTCTGCTAAAACTCAAAGCTACTCAACCACTACAACTGAAACGCCTCAGATTCAGGCCCAAAGCTCTTTCCTCTTGTGTCCAGTAGAGGGACAGCCAAACCACTCAGACTCAGTAACACATGAAGCATAATGGAATGCTGAGCAGCACAACGTAGTAACCAGATTTCTGTACTATTTCTATGGTTACATAAACATTTCAACACATTCTTTCTTCCATCAAGCCTTTGCTTGGCTTTCTCTTGAGCTGCGAATCACTCTATCACTTAGCCACCATTGCTGACCATGCTGGCCAGAGCATCTGCATCTCCCTGGGGATCTAGGCCCAGCCTCTGGAGGTCAAGTCCCATAGCAACCAGCATCTGGAACAGGGTGAGCTCCTGCTGGGTGGTCTGGTCCACCAAGGCTGGGCAGGTGGGGTTGCACTGGGGCCTTTGGCAGTTGTCAACCAGGTGGAATGGACAGCCTTTGGAAGGGGTTCTGTTGTTGCGGGTTGCCTCCAGACTCCTGTCCCAGCAGTGCAGGGCTCTTGGTAAAGAGGTGCCTTTAACTTGGAAACTCATCCAGTTGCTAGAAGAACAACAATACAACCAAATTAGGGATTCGAAATAAACCAAGGAAAATGTGGAAACAAAGTGTGGGGGAGAAGCTGTCGGAAAGCAATGAAATACAATGAATATAGATTGTGGCCGATAAGGTTAAAAACTGATGATCAGGAAAGTGTCATCAGTAACTTCATGGTCTGATGCAGGCTTTGCAAGTGCTTTAGCCACTTTTGGGGCATTTTCTTGGTAATAAGAGTGTGTCAACCTCCAGTTCTGAAAAGTAAAGCTATTGTGGAAGTGCCTTAAACCTGCATTCTTGTAATAGCCAGCTCCACTGGATGCAAGAAAAGAAGTCTGATTGTATAGAAATCTATTAAACTTTTCACTTGAGGTTTGCCTCAGGAAACATGTTCCTAATATGTGTGTGGTCTCAATTCACTATATATATATATATATATTAAAATATCATAGAAAACTAAATAATGATCATTTTGTAAATTATGGTCACATTTAGACAAAATTAGACAAAATAGAATAGTATGATTTAGGGTGGCTATCATGTTATTGACAGGTAAGTCCCACAGTGCTGTCCAGAGTTGGGTGTAATACAAAAAGTCTAAGCCTTAGAGTCTAAGAAGTTGGCTTTTATATTTACTGTTAAGTATGTTTAGTTTTTTTTAACTTGTTGTTCTCGATAGCCATCCTAGTAAATATCTCATTTAATGTAAAATACCAATCCACCCCATCTAACCAAGCGAGCAAAATAGCTCTAGCGTTAGCTCTCCTGACTTTATGTTTACTGTATTAACTTCCCCACTCGGTCTCACTTGTTACAACCTCCATCCTCTCGTCCAATCTATAATCCCTTTTGCTACTTAAAAACAAGATGGCGACAGCCAGTCGACAATATACAAATAGGTTATGTCAGAGTGACTACTTCCTTTAACAGTCTTTGGTTACATCACAGAATAGCCAATGCAAAGTTACCCACAATGACCTTGGACCTTCAGCACCTCCCATAAAGAATCATCTCCCATAATAAATACCTGTAACTTAGCCCGACTCTGTAAACTGAGCTGAGGCTGAGGCAGACCCACCCATGTCCATCCATGTAACAAAATAATGAGTGTGTTCAAGGGGTACAGAGGGGTTAGAGAAAGTGTGAAATGGCATTTGGTGACATGAAGAATGTGGTGTGATGAACGAGCACACCAAAAAGCAGCATGAGCTCACTAGGTAGAGATGATTACTGGTGCAGACGTGAATAAAGTGTGAGGGGAAGGCGTTAAAGTGCTTTACCATCACAGAAGTCAAACATCCATTCTTACCTTTTGGTGATCGCTGTGTGGGAAAGGCAGGACGGAGCAAACACAGCCCTGAATAAAAAACACACAGAAGAATATTTGAACTACATGGTGCATATGAGAACAATTGTTATCGGGTTACTCTTCTAACAGCTTTTTGGGAACTTACGTGACATCTCTAAGTGAGTTCTTAAGCTCCCTGCCTAAATTCTGTATGTACTGCCACTGCTCCTCTGACAGACTATGACCGCCCATGTAGATGTTTTCCACTCTCAGCTGCTCTTCATCAAACAGCCACTGCATCACAAACAGAGGGGCTACAGGGAAGACAAAAAGCTCATATTTAGATGCTCAATACATTTATATTAAGAATTGGTAAGATGATTATGTGCAATATGAAATAGGACACAAATAGTCCTGAACCTGTAGAGAATTGTCACCCGACAGTTCCCTTTAGCTTCTTTATGCTTACTGTATTATTTCTATTGCCTGCAAAAGCCAGACCGAACCTATGTACAGAAAGTGCTCTGCACCTAATGGCAGACAGATCAAATTATTTTGCAAATCCTACAGGGTGAACATACTGTATCAAAGCATTTAACAGCTAGAGAGACCAATATATTTCTAAGTAGTTAGTCGGTAACAGAACAAAGCTAAATTGAATACATTTTGATAATACATTTACAAGGTGGCCCGAAATGATTTGTTTTTAGGCAACTGTTTGGAAACAAGTTCACCTCGAGACAAAGTGGCCAGACGCTTTTAGTCTCTGAACGTTTCGAAAATCACTGGTGACACCACTGTAGAAGCTGAAGGAAAAGTTGTGTTTTTCCTGAGCTTCATAATGGGACAGACACTATTAAAACAAAGACTGAAAAGTCCATTCGTTGTAGCGTAATCAGACGAGTTGAAACATAAAGTAGAAAGTGATGGACTTATATGGCAGTATGTGTTGTGTCAAACGGATCACCCTCCTAGCTTTATGACTGCCAAAATAGGCATTGACAAGTTCATTCATACAAAGTATGAGGTCAAGCATCCTCAAGTCAGTGGTCATGGTAGTTAAACAAGAATAAGTATATAGACGCCCCAATAGATAGATGATGGATGAGGCTCTCACAGGTCAAGGTTGAGTACAGTTTGTGGCCAAAGAAGCACTGCCACTCCTCTCCTCTCTTATAGAGCTGCAGACATCTGTCAGGCACAACCCCATTCCACAGTCTGAGAAAAAAAACACAACACACTGTCAATACACACACATATAGTGCTCAGATGCTAAAATACATTACACAATAAAGGCAAACATAACAGCACTAGAGCCAACAGTATAACCAACGCTATATCATACAAAATGTTGTTCCCGTAGAACTTCATTCTCAATTTAGTTACGTTTACTTTTGCAATTTTTAACATAAAATCAGGACTACTGAGTGAAAGTTCACGCTTCTATTATTAATCCATCAACCCCAATTTCCTCCCTAGAAATGTACACAGACTTTGATGACACAAACAAATCTAATCCGGGAGAAAATAGGTTTCCCTAGATACGTAAATTACTGTTTTCAAATACAAAAGTATTTCTTTCATTAAAAAATATGGTCTGACTGAAAAATGCATGACTTTACCGAAGTCCTATCTTGATAGCATCTTCAGGTGAGCAGGAGATAGTTTCTGGGCAGTTTGGTGATCTCTGCTGTTTACTTTCTAGAAACCATCCTGAGTCCACAAGGCCTCGGACCTGAGCCTCTGCACCGAGCAGCTCCAGCTGACTGGCCACCCTATCGATGTTCAGCAAAACACCTGTTCCACCAGCACTGCAGGGGAGCAAAGACAATGAATAAGTTTGGCTTTCAGAGTTGAATATTTGTTAGTGGTATCAAAACGACAGGGCATCCCAGCTTTTAGCATTCATACAGTGGATCCTGTTTTAATGCTCAAGGAAGTTCCAACAACCATGGTGCTAACCTGGGAGGAATGTGGACCATTGCAGGGCAAGTCCCTTTAATAGGCATCATGTCATTGTCCACAGATGACTGTAAACATCTTTATTGTTGACAAGAGGATGCACCCAAAATAGAGCTTCTCTCGTTTAATGTTTGGATTGGAAATGATCCAGAGTGTACGGGGGAATGCACGCTCTCGTCCAAAAGGTGTGGTCAGCGTCAGAATGATAAAACAAACTCACCTCGTGCCAGACAGCATGACAACCTTCGCCAGTTTGATTCCTTTGGGGATGAGGTCTTTGATGACCTCGCGGATAATCAGGGAACCCATGAAGGTGTACTCAGCTGATAACAAGAAAACATGTCAATTGATTCGGAGCACCATACTAAAGAGTAAAAAAAGAACAACCTTGAAGAAACTTACTTGCATTTGTATTTCTATCTCTCTCCTTTTCTCTGCCTTGTCGCTGCCTTGGAGGAGGAGTTGGGGCAGGCCCATTGCCACTCCATACATCACTAGAACAGTACGGGATGAATCTAGAGAAATGGACACAATCACTAATGTCAACAGACTTGTATAGCTTAGACCTGTCAAAACTTGATGGAGAGTAGTCCCTGTCTGACAAACTTTAAAACATTTGATTTTTGTGTTTGCAAGGAGCCACGATGAGACATATAGTGAGCACAAACAAGTACTTACACAATGTTTGCATTATTCCAGTGTGGGTTTTCCTCTGCTTGAGAAGACAATATTCCAGTTCCTGTCAATCCAGTAATCAAAGATGAGACAGATTTCCCTTTTGTCTCAGTAAGATATCTTAAAACAAGCAACACCAAGTGCATTTCAAGAACTGTCTGGCTGACCTACCTCTTTTTGTTTGGGGCCACCCCGTTGAGCTCATTAGTCGGGGTATATTTTGGTACCTGGAATCACAGGTCTCTTTGCTGTGGCAGCACCAGCCACCTAAAAATAATAGAGACTAATATTAGACAGTAACATCAGGCACAGCATGGGAGACCCTTGTTAGCACATCACAGAGGCCCATGAGGAATGAAGAGGACTGCACCTGCAGCCTGGTCTGCTAATGATATGCACTCAGAGTCCGACCAAGAAGAAAAATGAATGACTTATAGTGCATAATTGAATGGTATCTGACTTGATTAATTTAGAAAAAACTATTTACTCTACTACTCGGAATAATACACTTATAAATCTTGTAAAACAAAGTCCAAAATGTTTGTGTTTCGGAAATGTGATGCACATGTCTGCTATGCTCCCAGGATACACACATAAGTCCAACTGGGGACCAATCCACCTAAATTCCCCCATTCCAAGTCTATCTAAGTGACAGGCAGCAACCAAAGAAGGAGAAAAACAGAAGATGACGGGACAAGATGACATCCCCATCAAAATTCCAATGGGGGCATCACGCCAAAACAAGCTGACCTTTGGGGACCAAGTTATCCAGTTGGGTTTTAAAATACTCACCTTCCAGAAATATCAGCCATCGGCGACTTCCTCTGAACTCCTTTAGGTAAAACCTGTACAACCACAAATACACAGGAATGAGGGGATGGTGACGATAAAGCAGCCATGTATGGAAGGAGACCATGATGCTCTGTGCTTCTAAAATCAAGGTATTGCGACATGACAAAAACAGCTTACTTCCCTGCTAAGGATTTCAGGAAAACAAGTGAGAGATAAACATCCGGAACATCTCACCCAGCTGCTGATCCATCATTGCATGTAACTTGGGTGTTCTTGAGGAATTGCAATCTCATATCAGCTGTCTGTTGTCCAGCAGCTCGAACTCCTGCAACACCCTCACGTGTGGCTTCATCTGTGCCTCCAATACTTCCTGCTCCTTTAGTGCTTACTGCAGTTCCAGTACTTCCAGTACCTCTAGTGCTTCCAGTACTTCCAGCTCCTTTAGTGCTTACTGCACTTCCAGTACTTCCAGCACTTGCAGTACTTCCAGTACCTCTAGTGCTTCCAGCAGTTCCAGTAGTTCCAGTACCTCTAGTGCTTCCAGTACTTCCACTGCCTCCAGTACTTCCACTGCCTCCAGTACTTCCAGTGCCTCTAGTGCCTCCAGTACTTCCAGTGCCTCCAGTACTTCCAGTGCCTCTAGTGCCTCCAGTACTTCCAGTGCCTCCAGTACTTCCACTGCCTCCAGTACTTCCACTGCCTCTAGTGCCTCCAGTACTTCCACTGCCTCCAGTACTTCCAGTGCTTCCAGTACTTCCACTGCCTCCAGTGCTTCCAGTACTTCCACTGCCTCCAATAATTCCACTGCCTCCAGTACTTCCAGTACTTCCAGTGCTTCCAGTACTCCCAGTGGCTCCAGTGCCTCCAGTGCCTCTAGTGCTACCAGGAGTCTGATTGACCACGGGGGGAGACTGACCAACATCACCTCCTTGGTTCCCACCAGACTTCTTGGGGGACTTACCACTAGGTTTAGCATTGTTGCGGTTGTTCTGACACCAGATTCCACCGATCAAAAGCAAGAACGCAACCTTGCCCAGTATATTCATATCTAAGGCAGAATAAGAAAACATACATGCAATGCATCACTCATACTCTGTCTTCAGAAGTATTTATCATAACGTAAAAATCTTGCTTGGCATAGATATTTCTTGTTTTTTTAACTAATCGTCCATAACTTGTTTTCTAATTTAAATCAATAACTTTTCAACATAGGAGTTTACTTACTTCTTTAAGAAGAATCAGCTTGGAGGACTGTTGCTGAAGCACTGCAGGGGTCTGGCAAATAACCAGTGCTGCTGATGAGAGAGTGAGAAGTTCAGAGCGCAGGTTTGAGAGGAGGATGCCAGTCAGGAGAAGTGATGAAGCCTTGACCAGGTTTTAATGAAGCCTGCAAATCAGCAGTGAGCTTTATAGTGCCACCATCAGATGTCCTCCCATTTTCCCTTGCTACTCCAACCAGGCCCTGAGATAATTTGCTGACGACACACCGTGAGGGGAGGTACCGGATGACCAGTGGCGAGGAGAAAAGATAACACACGTGTCTCTTCAACATATTTCAAGTCTTTGCACACACCCACCACTTAGCCCTCTCCCATCAGACCATGGTTCAAGAACGAGCTCTCCTTCCCCCTATCGTCTCTCTTCTTCTCCCTCCCACCCTCCACCTCTTATTGCCAGTGTTTTGATTTAAACATTTACATGGTCAGCATAAATGCATGGCCCCTTTGCGTGGAATGTGACCCAGGGGTCATTGGAGGACACACCTCAAACACTTTCCGACACGGGAATGAATAGTACCGTAAGCTTTCCGCATAGTAAACGATTTAGCATGCACTTTTATGGCACAGGTGGTGTACAATCTAGTTAGCTGTCGCAATTATCCCAAAACTTTGAAAATTATACATATTACAAGTAATAATAACAGAAATGTGTTAAATAACAGTTTCTTCAAAACACAACACATACAGTAGCTATAGGAGTTTGATAAAAAATAACATTAAAACAAATGTAATGATTATTTCCAATTATATTTTTTGGTTTATGAACATTGATAAATCAAAAAACATGTATTTATATATTTGAATTCACAGGGCAATATTTTTTGTTTGGCCCCTATATACCCCAGGGTACATACAGAGCAGAGTTTTAAGTATGTTGTTCTGACAACAAGATAAACCAATGAAGGACAGAACCAGAAGATGAAGGATCCACCTATAACAGTTGATATTATACTTCAATGGTACCCATTGTATTAATGATACGTATTCAACTCTTGTTATATCTTCTGGGCCCTGGGAAGTTCCCCGCTTTGCTTTTTTGTAGATCCAGCCTTGTGCCCCTAGGATGGCTGTAGGGTGACGTACCGCTGATCGCTTAAGGATCACGAGGCCAAGGGCTCTAAAATTCTCAACAATGAAATGCACACCATCCTGACGTGTCAATCACATCAAATAATGATTGCTTGGAAGGCCAGAGGCTACACCGGGCTGCTGGGGCTGCTGGGGCTGTAAGTATTGCAGGGTGGCAAGGAGGTATGACAATGTGTTTTAGACATTAAAACAGAAAGAATCCAGTACAATTAAAGTAATTCTTTTTGACATCTCACTAAGGGTACTGGACACAGTGACAACAGTACACACACTGCACGATCAACCTTGTAACAGGTGAAGGGCTGTACAATGATTTCAATAGGCACATATAAAAACATTATGATTAGGTCAAAGGTGTACCATAGAATGACTATCAGAATATCTGTATTTAGTGGATGTGTTGAAGATTATTTATCTCTGGCAAAAGAAAATCATTATCATACAGAAAGTTTGCAATAATGACCTAACCATTTCAAGACGTAAGGCAGAGGAATTTATCAAGGTTTCTCTCATTGCTTTGGTATTTTTGTATCATTTTCAAGCATTTCTTTGCTACTTTCAACTATCGCCAGACAGAAAACAAAGCTACTCAAAAATATGTCTGTGAGATTGTATGCACCTACGTGCAATAAAAATGTACCCTAAGGTCATCACTATACTGAATTTGATCTACCGAGCTGAACAATTCTTCATTCCTTCAGTTGTCTTGAAGCATGCACACCACCATCTGTCTTCCCAGAAATCAATGCAACAATGTGTTTAACAGATACCTCAAATAGCTTAAAAGCGAAAGAAGATGCTGTAAATCTATCATCATTGCGCTAGAATGTCACGATCAGAGAGATGGCATTGCTGCTATTTTGTTTTTCTTTGATATGGGATTGGACAGAATGATACCTTTTTCACAGAGGGCTTCAGATCAATGGATATAAGTGAATGTGTGTGTTAATACTGCGGTGATTCAACTCCCACAACTTCTCATGGATCAAACACTGTCCCTCACACACACACACACACACACACACACACACACACACACACACACACACACACACACACACACACACACACACACACACACACACACACACACACACACACACACACACACACACACACACACACACAAGGGGCACCTGTAAGGGGCTCACGAAGCATGTTGAACTTCACCCATACAGGGGCAACAGCTTGACTCCTTGTGCAGCATAGTAGGCATTCCTTTACCTCCTACCTCTTGTGTTGTTATTTTTCACAGCCAACCTCCAAGGTCAGGACACCTAAAGCCTGGGTGGTCCGGGCACTTTGTCTTCTGAGCATTTCTGTCATCACTGGCCTCAAAAGCTGAGTGCTGGGCATTGAGTTGGCTTATTTGTCGGCTGATGGCTCCAAAGAACAACGAACCAGACACAGGTAGTCATGTGCTGGATTCTTATGATCACACTACTGAATAGAAATTTGGCCACTCACAGATACAACTCCAAAACACCATGAACCTCTTATTCAAACAATGAAGAGGTTAAATCCACATGTTTTAAGACTTTTTAAAACACTTATTTGTTGCTAAAGTTAAAACCTTTTATAAAGTTGTGATGCATACCACCATCATGCTTTGCAGAGTCCCCTGCCATGTTGCGTGTAATTTGACAATCTGCAACAACCATCACCCTGAATCTATGTTGTCACCAGCAGTGGAGAGCATAGCTCGGCAAAGAGGCCCATGATTAATAGCAGATAAAGGTGGCATCTTTACAAGCCACATGAAATCGAGCCTCAGGCGAGAGAGCTGATGCCTGGTTGGAGAAACACTGCCAGAGCTTTCCATTCAATCAGAGAGGACGACGACCGAGCTTAGCGGGATCGGTGTAAAATGCTGCGCCACTGCAGGAGGCTAGCAGGTGGGCTGAGCAAAACTATCCCTAATACCAGGTGTTAAGAGGCCTTGCGTGGTAACCTTCTGCTGACTGCCAATGTATCGGTGTGATTAATGGAGGAGGGGTCGATGGCAGGGATACAAGGTGTTGGTTTCTGGAGAGGTTGGGGGTGATGTAACAGGCATAGAAAAGGATAGCTGACGTGAATACGTTAAATGTGCTGTGAGAAGCTCCTTCTCCTGAACCCCTCATTGACTAACGATGCTTACTGTCTACCTTATTGGCCTTCCCGAAGGACCTTCATCCAAAATATGTTCCTCCTCAAGTATGAGGATCACAATCCATAACAGTCAACATGACCATATATCAATTAAGCACCCAGTGTAACATTTAATTCTTGAAGAAAACTTCATGGTAAACAAAGAATCGTAAAACAGAGAAAGGTGTTAATGAATTAGAGGAAATTGGGGCTGAATTTAACAATAGCTAAACTTTATTAAACTATCAGTTTTATCCAGACATGTGGTCACTGATTAGTGAGAATGCATTGCAATCTACTGGTCAAATGAGAGTGGGATTGTACTGCACAAGTTTTGTAAGAGTTTGTATGGGATGACTTCATATCGTTTTGGTGTTGTTAAAAGCAGCCCCTATTTACTTCAATTCATTAACACTTCACCATGGATTCATGAAGAAAAAACAAAACGTTTTCTTCAAGAATTCAATGTTACATGGGGTGAGCAATTGATATGCAAATGTCCAACTTGTATGTAAAGTATTCCTTCAATACTGTTCTCTTGTCAAACTGGGGCATTGGTTTGGAAGGGGGTGGGGTGGCTGCATACTATCCTTAAGTTAACAGCTTGCCTTTGGGGCTCATGACACAGTGGTGCAGCTACGTGGCCTTGGAGTCATGCTGGATGAACCACCAGGCCTGTCAGTTCAATGATGAATACTAGCGGTAGGGTCACACAATGCTAAGCTCCCGCACTCGACAATAGGTCCTTTACATAAATCTTCACACCTGATCAACAATACGATTATCACACGACATGGAGTGTAAACAGCTGCTCAAGAGAAGATACAGACAAATGTCACCTTGATGTCTATGCTGTTGTCCATTTGATATCAGTGTTTCATTGAATTTACAACACTTTGAGCTAAATGCTAAATGCTAATACGCTATCAATGACAATGCTAAGGCCATGTTTACACAGAGACGAAACGGGTTGTATCCACTACAGTTCTCTATCGTATGGACGGTTCGTCCACACGAGGCCGTAACGGAACCGCGGAAACGGAGCCCTCAAACGGTAATGGGTCCCAAGGTGGGTAGATCTGCGGACGAACCGCTCTGGGGGGCCTAACGGCTCCGTGTGTACGTCCTATACGATCATTTCCTTATAACGATGAAGCCATAGCCATGTAGCATGGTCAGTAGCTACTGCTACTGACCATGCTACAGATGTTAGTGCAACATCTACTGCTCCTCTACCACAACCATCAGCAACAAGTGGACATAGAGAACTACATGAACTACATGTTGCTAAATCCACCGCGGAGAATAAACAGAAGGGCAACCAACCATGGCAACCATGCTCGGGGGTCTTCTTCGCTGCTTTTGGTGTATTTTGTGGCGGAAGTACAGCGCCACTTACAGGCCCGGCATATGTACTACAGCGTCTCCAGCGGATCGAGCGGTCTCGTGTGGACGGACACGTTTCTTGAGCCGATACCGTGTGGACGGAATACTTTTTTGATATCGAATTCGGTTTGTTCTCCGTTTCGTTGTTAAGCAAGTCTATT